GGTGCTACTTCATCGAAGCTGGTTTGCGCCCAAACGGATGCGCTTTTATGCTTTCTGGTGCTTACGTCACCCTGCTCGTGACGTCTCGCTACTCCATTGGACGGATTTGACACGTGCTTCAGAACGCGGTCACGCAAGGGCGTTCCCAAAGCGAATCTCGACGCAGCGTCTCGTTCCCTCGGGGAACATACGTAACCTAGAGACGTTTCCATTGACTTCTATTGTTTTTATACTAAGCTGATTTAATCTATCCCACAGCCCATAAATTAATTCTCACATCATCTTTTTGTATTTTCACATTTTCATAGACATTATTTAGTATGTTTATTAAGTCATTTTCTTTTGTTTTGCATTTGAGAATTAAAAACATACATTATTTGCTTTACTTATGACTCATTTTTTTCAGCTGAAGACCAAAATGACCCCAAACATCATTAAAGGGAGGCTTTGTCATATTTACAATTTTGCCCCTAAAGTTTACATAAAGGCTGGAATACACTACATGAACAAATTTGAAAACTCTAAGCATCGTACACTTGCAGACTGTGTAAATGGTAAGAGGAAAAGCAGAGGATCATACACTAAATGAATGAGGATCACACACTACCAGACTTCCAAATCATTACAAACTCGCACAGAAACATCGTGCCTCGTTAAGACGCATAACAAAAGAAAACATTGTGTGTTCTAAAATTTCCTCTGACAGGATGGAATCACAGTCTAAAACTAAAAAATTGGAATCTGTGCCCATCATACACTATGCAATTTTCTGCTAAATATATAAACACAAAGACTGCTGACTGACGTTCGGCAACTAGCGTTGATGCATGCAAACTGATAATTGGGACAAAATCTTGGCAAAAGTCATGTACTGTATTCCAACTTTAATTAAACACTCGCATAGAGACACTTGTGATCAGTCTGAGCAGCAGTAATCAAGCAGCAAGTGGAGATTATGGAAGATCAATACAACAGCAGATAGACTAATCCATGATATTAAATCTGTCCATGGATTCATCCCTCTCACATTAACACAAACACACACACACACACACACAGATGCAAAAACAAGCTCAAGATCACACGATTCTGAGGCCATAAAAACTGTCTTTGTGTGCAGTGACCCACAGTGCTGAATTCATCTTAAATCAGCGGAGACAGTTTCTGGACAGGCAGATAATAAATAAGCAACAGCGCATGTAGAGAGGGATAAAAGAAGAGCACAGACACAAACAGAGCAGTTTGTGTCTGTGACACAAAGACACAAAGAGTTTCAAAGCAATAAAGAAAGAAATGGCACTCATAACTGGCATAGGAGGGATGGACAGTTTCCATCTCAAGTAGAGTTCACACTGACATTAACACCAGGAGTGACAGATAAATGAAGAAATGATGGGCAGGTGCATAAAACCACAGTCATAGTGAGGGAGTCACTGATGGACACACACTGAGCCTCAGCACACACACACACACACACACACACACACACGACACGACATGACATGCTGAAGTCCTGTCTGACAGTTTCTACATTGTGGCTTTTCTTCCTCATTATTTGTGACTGTGATGCTGCAGAGTTTTGAAGTATACTGTAAAAATAGCTCATACGTAGACTACATATTGTTCAGAAAGTTAAATGAAATTATGAAATGCCACGCTACAGTATAAATATAACAATAACAGTACAATTCACCGCTCTCTCTACAGCATATATAATATACTACTGTTCAAAAGTTTTTAATAGATGTTTAAATGTTACATTGAAATATTATTACAATTGAAAATAACGTTTTTTTCCCTATGGTAATATATTATATATTATAATGTAATTTATTTCTGTGATGGCAAAGCTGAATTTCCAGTCTTCAGAGTCACGTAATCCTTCAAAAAATCATTGTAATATGCTGATTTACTGCTCAAGAGACATTTATTTTTATTATCAATGTTGAAATGGTTGTTGATACATTTTTTTTCAGGATTCTTGAATTAATAGAAAGCTAAAAACAAATATAATAAAATAAATAAATAAATAAAATAAAAAAATATTTTGTAACATACTGTAAATGCCTTTACTGTTACTTTTGATCAATTTAATGTGTCTTTGCTGAATAAAAGTATTAATTTCTTAATAATAAAATCATACTGACCCCAATGAACTGGACTGCACTAATATCTATGAAAGTGGCATGTAAACATTAACCAGCATTAACCTGATTGAAGCCAGCCATGACTAGATTTAGACAAAATTTTAGTTTAGAAATCGGAGACAAAAATCACAGACACCTAGCATATATCTGCATTAATTTTGGGTCATGTAAACACCTTATTGTGAATATCTACCTTAATTGAATATTTGTTTACTGTTTAGCTGCATGTACAAATAAAAGGTAATTCTGGGAGATATTAGAAGGAGCAAAGTAAAGAGTTAACCAGAATATAGACAATGAATTCCAGGTCAATTTGGTCATAGTGACATCATTTGACAATGATGTAGCATTCTACGTTGAAAGGTTTGGTTTTTTATACTGCATAATATGCAATAATCAGTAAATTAACATTTCATTCTGAATACAGCCACAAGTATTTCCTGCACATGCCCTGATTATATCCACCTGTGCCTTGCTAGTTCATTTGTCTAAATAGTGTGCAGCCCTTGTCTAGTGTAGCCTGTCTGTACCCGAGATGTTTTTGGTAAGTGTTTTGCGATTTGCGACAAGTCAAGACTAATCAGAGGTCTTGTTATATATTGTTTTGTTTTCATTTTCCCTTAATAAAATGCAGTTGGGCTCAGTGCTGGGCTGGATTTATACTTTTGGCTACAAAATCAGAACTCATCCTGAACTTTCCTCTTAACCAAAATACACTTATAGTGCATACTAAAAACAATACATGCTAATTCAATAAAAAAAAAAAAAGGAAGGACTGCCCTGGTATGCATTTTCACAGCAAATTGTTCATAATGTGAATGTGTTACAGTGACTGTGTGCATATTTTTGAGTCTTTCCCTGGACCCGTGTGTGTTTTGTCAGTGTATATAAATCAGTAAGTGTGTTTTTACTTGTGTGTGTGTGTGTGTGTGTGTACACAAGTGTGAGGTTTTCTGCAAGCTCTAAATTGCTCTAATAAAGTGTGAAAATGAATGTTTTCTGTGTGTGAGACTGCAGCTATCCACGATAACTGTAAAATAAATCACTCTCCCAGACACACGCATAAAATACATTTACAGACACACAAGCAGATTGAGAAGCAAACATATATGCATACAATCACAAAAACACATATTTACATGCTTTCACTCTTTTTGTTACAGAAAAAAATGAGCAATCTATGACAAACAACTAACCAATCAAAGCAAGAAAACATCTCTAAGAAGTGTTAGAGAAGGAATGGGTGTAGGTGTGTGCTGCTAAGCTCAGCAACTGTCTACCGTTGGTGGTACCCCCCACCCACACACACACAGAGCGATGAATGTGCAGTACCGGACAAAGGTCAACATTTTCCATTACTATTCAAGGAAACTTGCCAGCCAAAAGTCAATGTGGAAAGATTGTTCTCTGCCTTCTAATACACTTTCATTAGATTTGTTTACATTGCTCACAACCAATATCCATTCCGACAGGTCTGCTGTCTGTGTATGGAGTGAGAAGAGGGAAGAGAGAGGAAAGAAGGAGGTCAGAGAGGAGATGGGATTATGTGAACTAGTTTCAAACACCAAATGTGGTAAAAAAAAGTCAAATCCTAACAAAAATAAACATCTGCTCAATCGTTTTCAACATTTTGGAGAGTCTGAGACCCATAATGGCTGAAACGTTTAGTAGTTCCACTGTATTTCTGGGTTTGTTTTGGTGCTGCTCTACTCCGTTCCGCACACTGACACACTGTGATTATTTTGTCCAGATGTTGCAGCTCAAATTTCAGTATGTTTAAATTACAGATTGGAAAGGAGCAACTCGACTGACTAAGAAAAAGAAAACTTTCAACACAATCAACAGTGCTCTAATATTGCCTTTCTGCACTTATCTCTTTTTTTGTCACATTCTTTTTACTCTTTTTTTTTTATACTTCAGTTGAAAAGTTTGGGAGTTTTTAGGTTTTTAAAATTATGCTCACCAAGGCAGCATTTATTTAATCAAATATACAGTAAAAACATTATTTTATAAGATTTAAAAAAAATTTTTGTCGTTTATTCCTGTGATGGTAGAATGTTCAGCAGACATTACTCGAGTCTTCAGTGTCACATGATCCTTCAGAAATCATTTGAATATGCTGGTTTTGTGCTCAAGAAACATTATTATTATAATTAATGTTGAAAACAGCTGTGCTGTGACAGAAAATAATAGAAAGATGAAAATCATTTATTTGAAATAGAATAACCCTAACCCTAACCCACACACACAGCAGTGAGTAGTGAACACACACACACACTCACACACAAACACCCAGAGCAGAGGCCAGCAATTTTTGCTGCAGCGCCCAGGGAGCAACTGGGGGTTCGGTGCCTAGCTCAAAGGCATCTCAGTCATGGTACTGAAGGTGAAATAGAGTGCTGTACATTCACTACAATTCCTGAGGGTACTGAGACACAAACCCACGACCTTCGGGTTACAAGTCCGACTCTCTAACAATTAGGCCATAACTGCCCCTACTTCTAGTGGAGAAACAAAGGGGCAGTTGTGGCATAATGGTTAGAGTCATCTGATATCAAAAACAGTCAAAAGTTTATTAGTGCATACCCTAAATGACAAATTATCTGGATAGCATTTTCATACATTACATACTTCTAGTGGAGAAACAAACAAGGTTAACATTTCCAATAAAAAAATAAAAATTACCCCCCAATAAGGGCCACCCTGATATACAGTGGGGCAAAAAAGTATTTAGTCAGCCACCAATTGTGCAAGTTCTCCCACTTAAAAACAGTTGTAAATCTTTGAATGGCAGACTAAAACTAATTTATCTGTATATACGTCCATTTAAGTGCTATTATCTTGTGTCGTTACCTCTCATCAAGTGCTGTTGAATTCCGTGTTTCTAGCTTAGCAACTTCCCTTCTCGCTACGTCTAGTCCTGCTTCACTTCTTGCACTCGCTGGCTTCCTGTTGGCTGTAACGGTGGGAGCACCACGCAGGTTGAGCAGATTGAGGTAGGACTCAGCGTGGGAGGAAACAGGAGGATTTTCTGGCTGTCCTGCTGGAGTGGAGGTGATGGGCTGGTCTGAGCGAGGGGTGTAGAGGCTCTTCAGGTTGAGAGAGAGAGAACGAGGGGGCACGCTACTCCATGGTGATTCTTCTTCTAGAAGATACAAATTCAAATTTGAGACAAAGTCAAGGTCTTAATAGACAACTTGAAACAGTCAATAACAATAGAGGATGGGAATATCATACCTACCGAATGTTTTGAATTTCAACGCTTATGTAAATGAAGCTTACGATTGAAAAAAAAACTGCTATTGGGAGACTGGCCGTACAGTAGCCCTTCAGTGACAGGCACTCAAGGGCATAATGGTGACAGACTATTACAATAACTCTCCAAATGACCGGTCATACTATCCAGCAAGTACACCACCATCATCCCACCAGGCATAAGCGTATGCATGCACATATACTGTACACACACACACACACACTCACACACACACACATATAATCTCTGAAAGTGAAAGTCGGCATGGAGCCCAGTGCTGATGAATCAAACCCAATAAACTCCTGCACTAAACTCTGAAATAGATTAGTGTACACCAACCAACTCAATAACATCCCAGTCTGCCAAATGTGTGTGTGTTTATGACTGTAATAGAGCTTAACAGTGACCACCCACTTTTTCAGCAGCCAGTATTTTCCCCATTCATTTCCTTTGTAGAAATATCTTATAAAAAGTTATTTTTGAACCAAACTAGTAGCTAAGAGATGAATCACAGCAACATAATGTTTGTCTAAAAACAAAAAAGGTATTTTCAGAAATCACAAAAATACAGGAAAAAAAGGCGTGCTTAAAATTCTTGTTAATATTAAAAAGTGCACAAATACATTAAAATAAAAAATATAGTAACAACAGCAATATTGGGAAAGATTGATTTAAAATAATTTAATATATTTTAAAATGCTTTTTTTCTGTAATGGCAATGCTAAATTTTAAGCAGCAATAAATAAATTATAAATGTATTTACTGTCACATTAATTTAATATGTCCTAGCTGAATAAAAGTATTAATTTCTTCAAAAATAAATCTTACTGACCCCAAACTTTTGAACGGTCGTGTGAAATACTCAGAATGAAATACTCATCTCATGAAACACTGACAATAACCAAATCATAAATAATGGTACAATATTAATCTATGAATTATGTTGATTATCAATTTAAAATACATTATATTTAAAGTTTACTGCAAAATATTCAAGTATTTAATTTGTTTTAGAGTGTAGAGAGACTCATTTTATTAAATAACTTGTGATATTTTATGGGAGTGACTTCTCCAATTGGTGGAGCTGCCTTCAGGATTATGGGTAGTGTTGTGTTTGCACATGTGTGTCTTACTCTGTGTGGCTCCACTGATTCTGATCTCCAGTTGGCTGAGGTGTTTCACCAGCAGGGCAGTATGTTGCATTAAGTCTCGGTTCTGCAGCAGCAGCTGGTGAGTTCTGGCCTGTGCCTCCATGCGGGCAGCCGTCTCTGCGGCCAGCTGATCCTTCAGGAGCTGCACCTACAGCAGAAACACAATCAGTCAAGACTAGGGAATCATGTCAGTCGTACTGAAAGATACTGTAGCATAACTTGCAGGTAGGATAAGAGTTGAGGATTATAGTGAGTGAAGCGACTCTTAGTTTAGGTAATCCCAGTCGTATAGAGTTGATTCTCCAACTACTAACCTGTGTTTTTAGTGTATCAGTAGCAATGACAGTAATCAAGCTTTTAATTTATTATTCTATTAGTCGATCATTTTCAAGTGGCTTCCAGTAGTAGCTTTATTTTGTTGTCTTCATCATTTGTGCAACTGTTTGGGAAATTCAGCCCAAAGGAAAGAAAACAACATCTCTTTAATATCTCAGTTGCTTCTCCTAGATAGCATAGAGATAAATGGAGAGCAAACAGAAACATATTGTGAGAAAAACCGCCCAGTAATCTCCTCTGGAGCAGTGGTTTTCCACCTTTTTGTCTCTAAGGCCCCCTAAGGTCCGTCAATCTGTTGAGTTACTTAGTATAGAAAATTATGATCCTTATGATAAAATATGATAAACTTAAATCACTGAACCCAAATGGCATGCATGAGGAATTAGATCTTTCTGTCTTTCTTTAATGAACTATGGTTGGTCGTATTCATTTTTAATATTCTATATAATAAATTTAGTATTTACAGTGTGAAAAACAATGATTGCTTATGACGATGTATTTCTGATGTTCTTAATTATTGAATTTTTCATTGTTATACAATTTAAAGTTAATTGGAGTAGATACTGATGATTGATAGGATAAACTATAGGTTTGTATAATAGTGATAAATATGTGATTCTAAATAACTATTGTTTTAGTCACGGATATATTGTGAGGTGTACTAGTGGATGTGATGTTTTGTATTGGATATATATATATATATATGTAAATTGTCCAGGGTTTAATTGGAAATTATTTAATGATTGTGGTAATTGAACATTGGCTAATGAATGATGACGTCAATATAATTAGTGATTTGAAAAGTGGGTGGAGGGATTGAATTGCTTTACACACTGAGGAAGGCTTTGAGCCGAAACGTTTGTCTTTTCCCATAAGTACTGAATGTAAAATAAAAGAAAAAAGAAGATTCCCCTATTGTCCATGACAATATTTAAAGGTCAACAAAAGACATTCATCAACTAGTATACAATAATTATATTAAAATAATTATTGACATAGCTGCTTATTTTCAAACTCTTTTAATTACTTAAACTAGGACTGGCAAAATTAAAATAATTAAATTACATAATCCCAAAAACTGAATGTCCTTCATGGTTTATTATTGGTTCATGGTTTATTATTGCAAGTGTGCTGAGGCCCCCTGGTAGAGACTTCTAAAGACTCTAGACTTTTAAAGAGATCTCAACAATATTAAAAACTGTGCTCAGATTTGCCAATAAACAAACAAACAAATAAATAATGCAATCAAATTTCAAAGTTTAATTATAAACTCCGCTATACTGTCTCATTTGTTAAGAAATCCTCTAAAGAATTTTAGGAGAAACATCTGAGACAAGGTTAACACCCAAAAGAAACTAAAAACTAAATCTCCTGAGATATGAAAGAGCAATTTTTTTGACAAAATTTTCCTCTGGGCAGGCGGTGATTGTACGTCAATATCATTATCCAAGCTATTGCTATGCAGTAGCATGACTGTGCTGAATCAGAGCTGAGAGCACATCAGCTTCCTCTCTCTCTGACAGGACATTATAACCATAACAGCATCTGAACCCTATACAGTATCCCAAATGAGAACTAATATCATTAGTCAGAGATAGAATGATAAAAATGACTCAATATATGAACAGGCAAATGCATGGAGATGATTGCCTCTATCAGCATCTTGTTCCATCTCCTCTATATTTATCTTTGCTTCCTCATGGTTACGGAGAATGATTTGGGCTTATAGGGTATGTGAGTGCTTTTTAACAATGGCTAGTAGAAATAATTTCAACAGAGAGAAATGAATAGGTTTATAAAGGAAATGTGCCTCTGAAATTGCTGGAGTAGGTGAATAGATCTGTACTCTATGTGGAGAGCAGATGATTGTGAAACAGCCTGAAAATACGGAATCAACTGCTGCATGTTCCATAGAGCTGTATCGCCTCCTAGAGCTAGAAAAGGGTAGAAACAACGTCTTACCTGTGCTACAGCGATCTGTGTTTGTTGTTGCTGCTGTAGCAGCTGTTGTTGGAGTAACTGCAGGTGGTGTTGGGTGGCCAAAGGTGTGAGAGTAGGAGAGCAAGGGCTGCTGGGAGAGAGTGTGTAGAGAGAGACACCCTCCAGGTCTTGTAAAGTCTGAGAGATAAAGAACGAGAAAATGAGAGAGGGAAAACAAATGATAACAAACTAGTTGGGTCCTAAAACATTATCATTTGAAACATCATCTTCTGCAGTGTACAATTGAGGACTATGGGCTTTGAAAGCATAGTAATGGGTTAATTAGTGTGCATGTGTGTTTGCATTGGGAGAGCACTTTAATATGTGGATCTCCACAGGAGAAAAGGACACACACACACACACACACACACACACACAGACAGACAGACAGAGAGAGAGAGAGAGAGAGAGAGAGAGAGAGAGAGAGAGAGAGAGAGAGAGAGAGAGAGAAACTAAAATTAGAAACTAATTTTCTCTAAGTAGCTTTACCCTGTCTGTTAAAAACTGAGACAGAAACATGGCTCTTGGAATTTGAACACCAAAACTCTCTCTGCTTTCTCACCTAATTATATTTTGAGTAACACTTTACAATACGATTGCACTGCATTTACTAACAATGAACAGTTGTACTTTTAATGAACTTGAACAATTTCATTTTTTATTCTAGTTAATGCATTAACTAATGAAACCTTTTTTCTATCCCTAACCCTTTACCATCACACAAACCTTTATATATTTAAAGATTTCCATAGACAATATTTAGACATTTAAGGAATAGTTGACCCCAAAATGAAAATTCTGTCACCATTTACACACCCCAACTTCCAAACCTGTATAATTTCTTTCTTCAGAGAGTCAATGGGGACCAAAGACCAGAGACCACAGTCTTCAAAACGTCCTCTGTGTTCAGCAGAAGAAAGAAACTCATACAGGTCTGGAACAAACTGAGGGTAGAAACAAATTATAACGAAATTAAATTTTTGGGTGAACTATCCCTTTAATATTCAGCTCTCTGGAATACTTTGCATATTACAGAAATATTATGCAATTTTGAACAAAATGTATTTAGATATTCTAATTGATAAATTAGGCGTTCTGTGGTATAATATTTATGTATAATTTTTTTGTACAGTTACTAAACTAAATAAATTTTGACCATTGTCCCTGAAAAAAAAATATTCTACACAGTGCTAGTCTCAAGTCTTGCACATCACTTAGAAATGTGCCTGTTATAGTTTATATACTGCTCATTAAAGTTTAGTTTACATGACGATCTATAAAGTAGAGTATCAACATAATTCCTCCCTTTGTGTGATTTCTGATGTTAACCACCAGGAGGAGCTGGAGGTTTAATTTCAGGGTTATATCAGAGTGAGGAGACAGAGGATGGAGGTAGCAGCACATCTGCAAAAGCAAGCAAGACTGCCAAAATGAAACCGTTCATGAAAACAATCTTTTCATGTCCATTATCTCCACTGTGCACACAGGAATGCCTTCCATAAGTAGGATGGCAAAGAGATAACAGTTAACGACTACATTTTAAAACAGCATAAAAAAGGAAGCTGCAACAATGAATGTTCCCATTCTGTCTTCATTTATCCAGTAGATTCATTTGTTATGAACATCAGCTACAAAGCTAATGGAACACCACTGGATCTTTGATGTTTGCTAGACAAGGAACACATGAATGCATTATGAATTTGATTGCTGCTAAACGAATACATGTAAAATGACTGAATGCATTATCTGCTTTCAGGCTAGCCAGCCTTTCTGCACTGGGAATTTCTGTAATGAATGATGGAGAGATATCAAACATCAAACAATTTTTGAGTTTGAACTTACTTAATAATCCTTATGGCTCTCTCGTATGATATATGAACTTTTAAACACGGGCATGCAGCCAAATCAACCTGACTGGCCACAGTTTGCCTTTAAATTACATTAAATTCATGACAAGTAAGTACTCCCTACCCCTAAATCTCATTACTGTAGTAATGCACAAATAAACAAAAAATAATAATACTAATGTAAAACAATAATAATAATATATTATTTAAAGTATAAAAAGCATTTATATATATATATCATGGTAATATTTGTTGAATTCATTTGTTTAAACATGTTTAAATTCCTTTAATTTCATTTTTTAAATTAATGTTTTTGCTTTTATTTACTTTAATAATACACTACAGCTCAAAAGTACAGATACGGAAGTTCTAAGCGGCCATGCAT